AAAATTCCAGAAAAAATCTTCCATTTAACATCCCAGGAAAATCTCCCACGGAAAATTCCCGAAAAATCCACTATGGAAAATTCTAGAAAAGTCTTTCATAGAAAATTACACAAAAATCTCCTATGGAAAATTCCTGAAAAATCCACTATGAAAAATTCCAGAAAAATCTCCTATGAGAAATTTCAGAAAAATTTCCCATAGAAAATTCCAGGAAAATCTCCCATAGAAATATTCCAGAGAATATCGACATCCCATCAAAAACCCACCAATCTATCCTATAACCATTCCTTTCATTCTACTACTATTACTACGTTTCCCTATCATAATGCATTTTCTTGATTTTTTTCAATTTATATTTTTATTTTTTTTATTCCTTTTTTTTTTGGAATGAAACAAAATTATCACTTTTTCCTTTGATAACGAAATGTTGAAATGATAACAATAACTGATAGCTTATCACTATTTAACATTTCAGTATTAAAATGATAAAGAATATAAGAAAATTGCGTTAGGAAAGATGTTAGCAAATGATGCTATACTGATAACATTTTATCATTTCAACAAGTATGATAATTGAATGTCATCATTAATCGATACAACACCTGTTGAGTTAATTCAAAATATCTCAACAGCTCTTCATTTTTATCCAAATATCCGCGCATTTCTTTAAATATTTACTTGTTTTTTCTTTTTTTTTTAATTAGTATGTTTGATTTTAAATCTTAAGATAATGATGATAATTTTTCAAAATTTTATTAAAATTTTTAGTTTTAAACTTATAATTACGAAGAAAAATATGGAATAGAAGAAAGTAAAATATCATTGTTTACGGATATAACTTATAGCAAAATAATGCAATAAGCAATAAGTAGCATGTAGAATGAAATAGTAATAAATAAGCATGAAATGATAATAGTATTTTAATATTTGAAAATTGGAAAAAAAAAACTTTGACATCTTGAAGTTGAAATAAGCTTAGGTGAAGAAAGCTTAGATTTTTGTGAAAAAAAAGAGCTTTGGTATCTTGAAGTTAAAGTAAGCTTAGACTTTTGGAAATTAAAGAAAAAAAAAGCTTTGGTATCTTGAAGTTGAAGCAAGCTTAGGCTTTTGGAAATTAAAAAAAAGACTTTGATATGTTGAAGTAAAGCATAGGTTTTTGGAAATTTAAAAGAAAGTTGAATGTGTGAGAGCTGGAAAAAGATAATCTGATAATGAAGCATATAAGATGGATGTATCTCATATCAGTTCTTAAAACGAAAAACAAAAATTAAAGGAAAAAAAAAGAAAGTGAAACACATTCATTTCCCAATGTATGCTTATTTTTTGCACAACTTTACTTTTTGAAATTCAATGAATTTAAAAAAAATTACTTTAAAAATAAAGAAAGAATTATTCTTTTGATCTTTTGCTAGCAAAAAAAAAAAGAAATAAAAAAAGGAGAAGACAAATGATAAGTTTAATATTTTATGGTTAAATTTTATTTTGCAATCATTTTCTTTTCGAATAAACAAATAATACTATCAGTAAAGATGGTTAAATAAGTGATGCTACTAATAAACTTAATGTACTGATATTATCATTTAATCCATTTTCCTAACAGTAGAAGATCTAATTAATTAATGAATTCGTTTATTCATTTAAGAAAGTAATGGAAGAACTTAATTAATGAGTGTGTTATAAATACTTAATTAATTAGCAAATTAAAGATTGCTTTAATATCATACTTTCTTTTGGAATAATAAAATAATAACTATCAATAAGAGTGAAAAATAAATAACGATACTCATAAACATCATATTTTAATATTATCATTTAATTTATTTTCATAGCATCAAAAAATTCAACTAATGAATTCAATTTATTAATTGATGCATTAGAGATTAATGAAAATACTTAATTAATGAGTAAAAGATTAAAATCGAACTCAAAATCAAATCTTATACTAGTAATGCTATACTTTAACAAATGATTTTGTTTAGTACAACAATTAATTTTAAATGAAAAAAAAAGAAAAAAGAATAACAAGGAGATTATTTAAAAAAATTTTTGAGAAAAGAATTATCATGAGATGTTTTCTTTTTTTTTTTAATATTAATAAGAAATAGTAACAAACCGCATCGGAGTTTCGATAAATGTTCCTGACCGGCATAGGGACACAGGTATCATTGGACGAAGCATGAAACTGGAAATTCAAAAAAAAAA